GCCAATCGTTAGAAAGGGGAGATTACTTAAGAAGTCTTAGAATTACTTGCCGCACAGCCAAGACAGGACAGCTAAGAAGTCATAATAGCAGAGCGTGCAGCATCAAAAGCAGCAGATGTTTATGGATACGAATTGAGCAACTTTTCCTTTTTTGGCACATGCCTTCGTTATCCTGTCAAGACAGCGCAAATTTATTTCAATTAAGACCGAAACATTTTGCAGCCGCTCACAAAATCACAAGAAATTTTTGTAACGGCCGTTACGTTACTTTATCTAATAGATATTGTCAATTTTTTTGAGTTTTTGCTTGTACAAATAGAAACATCGAACGAAATTTGAGGTCAATATAAGTGGACAGTTGTGTACTCTCAATAAGTGGAGTGTGCCGGAATGGCTAAAGTTTTTCGCGCCTCTGACTTCTGTTTATTGCATTCGGCATTAAGGACTTATAATGTTATTTCAGTTGTATCTAATAGAACTAGTAAAATTCCTACTAAATGATAGTGAAAATGTCCCTATATATAATATTATATATCTATATATATTTTAAAATTAATAAAAAAAAACTATATAATTTTAAAAATGAATTATTAATAAATATCTGAACTTTTATTGGTGAGAAAATATTTCCCACATCGAATACACAACCGCACAGAAAATGTTCCCACCAGCTCAGAAAGTTCTAAAAATACTGTGCCGTCTGTCATATAAAAAATGAGGTTCACATGCTCCACAATTTGTTAAGGCTAAGGATACAGAAATACAGAATTTAAGGTTAAGATTATTTAAGGGGCGCTAAGCGTTTAGGGGAAGCGTATGCTCTGCTGATTAATAAGAAATCAGAGGAACATAAAAATAAAATTAAAATTAATGTGTTTTAATGTTGAAATCGTGCGTTTCATGACTTTTTTAGTAGCACACTTAAAAAGTGTGAAGAACGATCTTCATGTCGACATGAAGAAGCAGAGCAATGAAGGACAGAAGGATCTCAATGCCCGTTTAAAGCATAAGGAATGCTGTAATTGATTCTTTATGTGATGTAGTCAACAATCAGTGGATTGCCAAATCTATAGAAAATTATAATTAAATTCATTTGAAGGACTTATGCAGCTATTTATGCTACATAAAAGTATTTGAAGTATTTTATTTTACATGAATATGAGATATCCACAAGTTCCCAATTAACATGAGTTTTATTTAAAGCTTTATAAATTTTTTTATAAAGATTTGCTGATTATACTGTATCAATTTTATCTAAAATCTGTCAAATTTGCTTTAAATATGAGACATGACCTCATAGTTGTCATTGTCAATTGTAGTTTTTTTTATTGCTCACCTTTATTTTTTTTTAATTTAAGTAAAATTATATTTATGCACATTTTTTTATTGATTTTAAATACAAAATGCATATATTTTTACAGATTGTTTTAAGTTCTATTAAATTTATAAGTCGATCTTCAGCTATTTGTTTCGAGAATGAGTAAATGTTTATCGTTACATACATATATGAATGTAGGTATGTACATCGTATTTAGTAGAGATGAATACGAATTGGATGTGGTATATATATTTTAAAGTTAATAAATTCTAAATTGTATTCTTTAATCGATCTATACTGATATTGCACAATTATATGCAATTTACATACATATGTATATTGTCTTAAAAAGAGGAGCTTAAGGGGAAAACCATGTGTCCGATGGAGTGATTAGATGCAGATAGCACTAACCGCACCTAATGTAAGTGACTGTACAAAGTGTGCATGGAGCAGAAACGCCAGAAAACGAGTGCTGCGTCAGATAGATTTCTAGGAATGATTTGTTAGCGCCAACTAAATAATTAAGAGTAATAAATATCTTATATATTAAAAAAATAAGTATGCATATAAACTTCACATGTACCTATTTTTGTATATATGTATTCGTTTATATTATACAATTGTAAACACATATTTTTGTTGTGGTTAATAAACGGTTTAAGAGAATTTAATTTGTTATTAAAATAATTTTTACATTACAGTTATTTACAGTCATTAAGAAGAAAACTTCCATTATCAAATATTTTATATAATATATAAATCTGCATTATTATACCACATTT